ATGGGGACGATGAAAAGAGCCCTTACATGTACTATTGGAATGAAGAGAGCTGAGTCTACAGATTTTACCTAACAGGAGCATGTTTCTTATTGTAGTCAGGCCAGTAGGGAACATGAGCCTCTCGTAGTCAGTGTGGGTTTTATCTTGCTCTTAATTCTCACTGTAGAGAAGGGAGATTTTATACTGCACAATCAGTACGCTGCCAGACACCGGCTGGCTGGCTAGTGATTCTTGTGTGTCCAGAGAATGCCTTAAGGAACATCCGTTGTGTGGTCTCATGGACTTGTTTTGTGCCTGAGGTTGAAGTAGCTGATTGTTGAGTTGGGAGACTTGACAAATCCGTTGTGTGGTCTCATGGACTTTGTGTCTGAGGTTGAAGTAGCTGATTGTTGAGTTGGGAGACTTGACAAATCTGTTGTGTGGTCTCATGGACTTTGTGTCTGAGGTTGAAGTAGCTGATTGTTGAGTTGGGAGACACTATCACTTATCGGCAATTTGTCTTCTCCGCTGCCTTGTTATCTTATTCTCCTTTATCCTGAAGTTGAGGCAGATGCAGTTGTATACCGGCATTAGTATGGCTTCACACAAGTGTCTCATCTGAATAAACAGTCTACAGGCTGCCAGTCGCATGAAGCATGAACTTAGATCATCACAACGAAATGAGACATCACAGAAACTTTCCGTAGCTTCGGAGGCTGTGCGTTTATTTTCTCAGCTAAAGTATACATTTATTTGTTGAAACCGTGGGGACAACAAGACAGGCTGGATGTCTGATCTCTATGAAGTATAGAAGCAGGTGTGTACATCAGGTCATTTTTGAGGATCTGATCAATGAAGTTTCAACACACACACACAAAAACAAACACACACACATGAAACTGTTCAAGAATACAAAAATAGAGATTACTTTCTATCCTAGTGTACGTTTTATTTAATTATCATAATAAAATTGTTCTTGTTTATGATTGTTTATACTTTGACTGACATAAATGTGGGCACCAGTTCCAATCTGAACACACCCGTCCACTGGACACTTGCCAGTGGCTCCACGGGCTAAGCTGTGTATCAAGTAACCGTTTTCAGTTAATTCCATTGAGTGCTTGTCGTAGCCTCAGCACGCTGGTTGACTAAGGGGCCAATAATACTAAGATGCCTCCTTGCAGAAAAGGGGAGAGGGCGCACAACAGGTTTTTAGTGCTTAAGACATGAAAGGGCCCTGATCTAGCCACGCATGACTGGCCTCAGTATGAGTAGCTACAGTCTGGGTGTGGTCATCTGTCCATGTCTGAGGGGATGTAGACAGTCTTGGTGTGGTCATCTGTCCATGTCTGAGGGGATGTAGACAGTCTGGGTGTGGTCATCTGTCCATGTCTGAGGGGATGTAGACAGTCTGGGTGTGGTCATCTGTCCATGTCTGAGGGGATGTAGACAGTCTGGGTGTGGTCATCTGTCCATGTCTGAGGGGATGTAGACAGTCTTGGTGTGGTCATCTGTCCATGTCTGAGGGGATGTAGACAGTCTGGGTGTGGTCATCTGTCCATGTCTGAGGGGATGTAGACAGTCTGGGTGTGGTCATCTGTCCATGTCTGAGGGGATGTAGACAGTCTGGGTGTGGTCATCTGTCCATGTCTGAGGGGATGTAGACAGTCTGGGTGTGGTCATCTGTCCATGTCTGAGGGGATGTAGACAGTCTGGGTGTGGTCATCTGTCCATGTCTGAGGGGATGTAGACAATCTGGGTGTGGTCATCTATCCATGTCTGAGGGGATGTAGACAGTCTGGGTGTGGTCATCTGTCCATGTCTGAGGGGATGTAGACAGTCTGGGTGTGGTCATCTATGTCTCATGGCATGAAGACAGTATATATCCAGCTTGGTTTAGATCTTGGGGGGGGGGGGGGAGGTGAAGGAAAGGGAATAGGGTGGAATGTATGTATGAGCTAACTGTAACCAAGCCAGAAGCTAAGTGTAGAGGTTGACATTTCAGTCCAGTCTGTCACACCACCCAAAACAGTCCTGTGATTATACACAATTTTATTGATTGTTAAATCTACATGATCATTTTTCTGTTTACAATCATTTGTACACAATAGAATTATTTTAAACTGAGTTTCCATTGTTGTGAATTTAACTTTAATTATAACATGGGTTTGTTAGTGAACCTAATACAATCTGGAAAAAAATAAACCCAGTAGAGTGTGTCTGCAGCCACCAGACTGGTTCCACACCCCCCCCCCCCTCCCTAAACCAGCTGGGAGATTCATTGTTTTAGGTTCACCAGCTGTAATCCTTCTGTGACACTGCCTGCCTGTGAGGACCAGATGTTTGATCTCCCTTCTGTGACACTGTCTGCCTGGAAGGACCAGATGTTTGATCTACCCTCTGTGACACTCTGCCTGGAAGGACCAGATGTTTGCCTCTATGACACTGTCTGCCTGGGAGACCAGATGTTTGATCTCCCCGCTGTGACACTGTCTGCCTGGGAGGACCAGATGTTTGATCTCCCCTCTATGACACTAAAAGTGAGGCATACCTCTCACAATAGCAGTACTTCCATATCCATCAGTTTCTCTCCGAAGCTGAGAAGAAGACAAATTCTATTTTACCTTCATGTGTGCATGATCTAGTGGGTTCACTTGTCTGTCAGACTTCTACCTTTTAATATCTACTGGTGCTTTTCTTGTGGTGTCATACACATATCACTGACTGATGCCCTTCCTAAGCTGTCATACACCTATCACTGAATGGTGCCATTCCTAAATTGTCATACATCTATCCCTGAATGGTGCCTTTCCCAAACTGTCATACATATATCCCTGAATGGTACCTTTCTCAAACTGTCATACATATATCCCTGAATGGTACCTTTCCCAAACTGTCATACATATATCCCTGAATGGTACCTTTCTCAAACTGTCATACATATATCCCTGAATGGTGCCTTTCTCAAACTGTCATACATATATCCCTGAATGGTACCTTTCTCAAACTGTCATACATATATCCCTGAATGGTACCTTTCCCAAACTGTCATACATATATCCCTGAATGGTACCTTTCCCAAACTGTCATACATATATCCCTGAATGGTACCTTTCCCAAACTGTCATACATATATCCCTGAATGGTACCTTTCCCAAACTGTCATACATATATCCCTGAATGGTACCTTTCCCAAACTGTCATACATATATCCCTGAATGGTACCTTTCTCAAACTGTCATACATATATCCCTGAATGGTACCTTTCTCAAACTGTCATACATATATCCATGAATGGTACCTTTCCCAAACTGTCATACATATATCCCTGAATGGTACCTTTCCCAAACTGTCATACATATATCCCTGAATGGTACCTTTCTCAAACTGTCATACATATATCCCTGAATGGTACCTTTCCCAAACTGTCATACAAATATCCCTGAATGGTACCTTTCTCAAACTGTCATACATTTGTCCCTGAATGGTGCCTTTCCCAAACTGTCATACATCTATTCCTGAATGGTGCCCTTCCCAAGCTGTCATACATCACTGAATGATGCCTTTCCCAAACTATCATACATCTATCCCTGAATGGTGCCCTTTCCAAGCTGTCATACATCACCGAATAATGCCTTTTCCAAACTATCATACATCTATCCTTGAATGGTTCTCTTTCCCAGCTGTCATACATGACCCTAAGATTGCCTTTACCAAACTGTCATACATTTATCCTTCGATGATGTCCTTCCTAAACTGTCACATATCACCTTTTCCAAACTGTCCATAAATGGTTCCATTCCCATACTGTCGTACATCTATCACTGGATGGTGCAATTCCCAAACTGTCACACATCACAGACTGATACTCTACCCAATCTGTCATACATCACTGAATGGTACTCTACCCAGTCTGTCATACATCACTAAATGGTGCTCTACCCAGTCTGTCATACATCACTGAATGGTGCTCTACCCAGTCTGTCATACATCACTGAATAGTGCTCTACCCATTCTGTCATACATCACTAAATGGTGCTCTACCCAGTCTGTCATACATCACTGAATGGTGCTCTACCCAGTCTGTCATACATCACTGAATGGTGCTCTACCTAATCTGTCATACATCACTGAATGGTGCTCTACCCATTCTGTCATACATCACTGAATGGTGCTTTACCCAATCTGTCATACATCACTGAATGGTGCTCTACCCAATCTGTCATACATCACAGACTGATACTCTATCCAATCTGTAATACATCACTGAATGGTGCTTTATCCAATCTGTCATACATCACTGAATGGTGCTCTACCCAAGTTGTCATACCAACTGCTTATATTTAAGACAAAACATATCAAATGTCTTCAAAAGCAATTCACACTCCAACCTCCCACAGAAGTGGGCAACTGTCTGACACAAACCACAGATAAGGACTGAATATCTCAGAACAACTGAAGTACTACTATTGGCACAAGTCAAATTTCTACACCAAGCACACATCTACACGTGTCCCAGATGTCTAGCAAACATGAGCTATGCTTCCAGGAACACATCTACACCAGGAACACATCTACACGTGTCCCAGATGTCTAGCAAACAGGAGGTATGCTTCCAGGAACACATCTACACGTGTCCCAGATGTCTAGCAAACAGGAGCTATGCTTCCAGGAACACATCTACACCAGGAACACATCTACACGTGTCCCAGATGTCTAGCAAACAGGAGGTATGCTTCCAGGAACACATCTACACCAGGAACACATCTACACGTGTCCCAGATGTCTAGCAAACAGGAGGTATGCTTCCAGAAACACATCTACACGTGTCCCAGATGTCTAGCAAACAGGAGGTATGCTTCCAGGAACACATCTACACCAGGAACACATCTACACGTGTCCCAGATGTCTAGCAAACAGGAGGTATGCTTCCAGGAACACATCTACACGTGTCCCAGATGTCTAGCAAACAGGAGCTATGCTTCCAGGAACACCACTATATGATGAACAGAAAGCTGTGATTATGATTTGTTCTTGGCTTGTGCTGTCTCAGCCCTGGCTGTATGTTCATCCTGGACTGTGAGAGAATCGGCTGCATCCTTGGCTGTGAGTGTATCCTTGGCTGCTGTGCAATGATCAGTGACTGCCTCCTTCTCAAAGACCCCAGCACTAGACACTGAGCTGGTCTTTAACATCTGCAGCTGCCTCCAGCCCCGCCGCAACAGGTACTCTATTTTAATGACTTCAGTTTTGGGCAGTTTGGCGTTTTTGTGAAACTCATCCTTGACGTACTCTTGAAAGCTGGGATGTTTTTTAGTGACTTGTAAAAACTGTTTATAGAGACTTAGCACTTGTTGCTGAAGCTTGCTGTGTCTTGCCATTATAATGTGTATGGACCAGTCTTGTTAGTATGGGCAGCAGCTCTCTGTGGACACAGAAATATAGCAATTGAGAATGTGGCAGTTGACTGCCAAGATTGGCATACAGTTCAGCAATGTACCACTCCTTGATTCTGAGGTGAAAGTGTCCAGCTCAGGCTCAGAGTTGGAATCCCAGCGTACCACTGGCTCCTCTTACCGCAACCATTAGAGCCTAATGATGTCACATATTGTCCTGATAGTCAAGGGCACCCAGTGTGCATGTCAACAAGGGGCCTAACCAGACAAAGCTGCCAGGTCAGAAAACCTGGCCACAGATACCCAGACCCCAGACGGAACTGTTCACAAATGTCCCCATGTGGGTTTTCCGGCCCATTATGGAACTGTGTTCACAAATGTCCCCATGTGGGTTTTCCGGCCCATTATGGAACTGTGTTCACAAATGTCCCCTTGTGGGTTTTCCGGCCCATTATGGAACTGTGTTCACAAATGTCCCCTTGTGGGTTTTCCGACCCATTATGGAACTGTGTTCACAAATGTCCCCATGTGGGTTTATGGGCCCTTTATGGAACTGTGTTCACAAATGTCCCCTTGTGGGTTTTCCGGCCCATTATGGAACTGTTCACAAATGTCCCCATGTGGGTTTTGGTCCCATTATGCGGGGGGGGGGAATAGACCCACTGCTGTTTGTATGTCATAAGAGTCGACCAATTAAGGGGTTTCCTTTGAAGCTGGAGTGCATCTGTCTGAGGCAAGGAACCAGCAGTCTGCATACAAATAAGCCAGATCTGTAAAACCACGCTCAACACTTAAGACAGCCATGCACCCTGGACACTTACAACAGACAGCCAACCACGCTTGACACTTACAACAGACAGCCAACCACGCTTGACCCAACAGACAGCCAACCACGCTTGACACTTACAACATACAGACAACCACGCTTGACACTTAACAACAGACAGCCAACCACGCTTGATACTTACAACAGACAACCAAACACCCTGTAAACTTACAAGTTTTTAAAAGGAGTAGAAATTATAGGGAAGAGAAAAAGTTGGTAAGAAACAACAAATAGTTTGTTAGCTTTACAAAATCGATCACAATAAACAAACAAAGGACGCTGCAGCGGTTAGCCTTCATCAGCACATAAAGGACAACAGTACAGATACACAAATAGGCTCTAACTATGAAGTGACTACAAAGGACTCTAATATATAAAATAAATGATACTCATCTGTGTCCCTGGCGAAAAAACTTTGTACAATGAAATGATGGTCAGCCTATATATCTCCAATGCGCGGGTGGGGGCGAAAAAAGGGGTGGATTAGACGCCAACAGCGTACACTGAGTGTCTAAGGAGGGAGGGAGTGGTTGGCCTATAGGGCATAACCGGGGTTAGGTTGTGGGGATGACAATAGTCCATCCGCATGGAATAAAAGTGGTGCCTGTGCTTGCAAACAAATATCAGCAGACAGACCGACAGACAGACAGGTAGGTAGGTAGGTAGATGGATGGATAGATAGATTAGAATCGTGGATGGTGGGGTGAATGGATGAGTAGGTAGCGCAATTGATGCGCGGGTAGACAAATAGACGTAATGATGGCTATACTCGTGGATGGATGAAACGGCTGATATATGAAATCAGGTAAAGACAAGGGTCTCAAGACACGATGCTTCTCACTTACTGTCAGCTATGAAATAGAGACAGTAAGGGTGATTGTTATACAAAGTATCAGTCGAACCGAGCACAGAACTGGTTAAAAAACAGAATGTAAGGGAGCCATGGAAACCTACAACAGACAGACAACCATGCTCGACACTTACAACAGACAGCCAACCATGCTTGACACTTACAACAGACAGACAACCACGCTTGACACTTACAACAGACAGCCAACCACCCTGGAAACTTACAACAGACAGCCAACCACGCTTGACACTTACAACAGACAGCCAACCACCCTGGACACTTACAACAGACAGACAACCAAGCTTGACACTTACAACAGACAGCCAACCACCCTGGAAACTTACAACAGACAGCCAACCACGCTTGACACTTACAACAGACAGCCAACCACCCTGGACACTTACAACAGACAGACAACCACGCTTGACACTTACAACAGACAGCCAACCACCCTGGAAACTTACAACACACAGACAACCACGCTTGACACTTACAACAGACAGCCAACCACGCTTGACACTTACAACAGACAGCCAACCACCCTGGAAACTTACAACAGACAGCCAACCACGCTTGACACTTACAACAGACAGCCAACCACCCTGGACACTTACAACAGACAGCCAACCACGCTTGACACTTACAACAGACAGCCAACCACGCTTGACACTTACAACAGACAGCCAACCATGCTTGACACTTAACAACAGACAGCCAACCACGCTTGACACTTACAACAGACAGCCATACATCCTGGACACTTACAACAGACAGCCATACATCCTGGACACTTACAACAGACAGCCATACATCCTGGACACTTACAACAGACAGCCATACATCCTGGACACTTACAACAGACAGCCATACACCCTGGACACTTACAACAGACAGCCATACACCCTGGACACTTACAGACAGCCAACCACGCTTGACACTTACAACAGACAGCCATACACCCTGGACACTTGCAACAGACAGCCAACCACCCTGGACACTTACAACAGACAGCCAACCACACTTGACACTTACAACAGACAACCAACCACGCTTGACACTTACAACAGACAGCCAACCACGTTTGACACTTACAACAGACAGCCAACCATGCTTGACACTTACAACAGACAGCCAACCACGCTTGACACTTACAACCGACAGCCATACACCCTGGACACTTACAACAGACAGCCAACTACGCTTAACACTTACAACAGACAGCCAACCACGCTTGACACTTACAACAGACAGCCAACCATGCTTGACACTTACAACAGACAGCCAACCATGCTTGACACTTACAACAGACAGCCAACCACGCTTGACACTTACAGCAGACAGCCATACACCCTGGACACTTACAACAGACAGCCAACCACGCTTGACACAACAGACAATCAACCACACTTGACACAACAGCCAACCATGCTTGACACAACAGACAACCAACCAATGCTTAACACTTACAACAGACAGCTAACCACCCTGGACACTTACAACATCTAATCACCCTGGACACTTACAACAGCCAATCATCCTGGACATTTAAAACAGCCAATCACCCTGGGACATTTACAACAACCAATCACACTGGACACTTAAACAGCCAACTACCCTGGACACGTACAACAGAAAATCACCCTGGACGCTTACAACAGACAGCCAACCACCATGGACACAAAAGACAGCCAACCACCCTGGACACTTACAACAGACAGCCAACCACCCTGGACACTTACAACAGACAGCCAACCACCCTGGACACTTACAACAGACAGCCAACCACCATGGACACTTGCAACACACAGCCAACCACACTTGACACAACAGACAACCAACCACGCTTGACACAACAGACAGCCAACCACGCTTGACACAACAGACAACCAATCTGGACATTTACAACAGGCCAGTCATCCTGGACATTTACAACAGGCCAGTCATCCTGGAAATTTACAACAGCAACCACCCTGGACATTTACAACAGCAATCACCCTGGACATTTACAACAGGCCAGTCATCCTGGACATTTACAACAGGCCAGTCATCCTGGACATTTATAACAGGCCAGTCATCCTGGACATTTACAACAGGCCAGTCATCCTGGACATTTACAACAGCAATCACCCTGGACATTTACAACAGGCCAGTCATCCTGGACATTTACAACAGCAATCCTGGACATTTACAACAGGCCAGTCATCCTGGACATTTACAACAGGCCAGTCATCCTGGACATTTACAACAGGCCAGTCATCCTGGACATTTACAACAGCAATCACCCTGGACATTTACAACAGGCCAGTCATCCTGGACATTTACAACAGGCCAGTCATCCTGGACATTTACAACAGCCAATCACCCTGGACATTTACAACAGCCAATCACCCTTGACATTTACAACAGCCAATCACCCTGGACATTTACAACAGGCCAGTCATCCTGGACATTTACAACAGGCCAGCCATCCTGGACATTTACAACAGCCAATCACCCTGGACATTTACAACAGCCAATCACCCTGGACATTTACAACAGCCAATCACCCTGGACATTTACAACAGCCAATCACCCTGGACATTTACAACAGCCAATCACCCTGGACATTTACAACAGCCAATCACCCTGGACATTTACAACAACCAATCATCTGGACATTTACAACAGCCAATCACCCTGGACATTTACAACAGCCAATCACCCTGGACATTTACAACAGCCAATCACCCTGGACATTTACTACAGGCCAGCCATCCTGGACATTTACCAGACTTGCAAAAATTGGAACAAAGGAGAAACAACACACCCATCCATTGTTACCAGAAATCAGAACACTTATCAAGGGAAAATACAAGGAATTGTAGAGATAACAAACATGCATAAAATAAAGATTGTAGTGCCCACAGTGTGCCTGCCAAACAGGACCACAAACATCTGAGCACATTCTGCAGACCTGCCCACTCTACCTGCAATGTCTAAAAGAGACCTGGTCTCAAGAGCAAAGTGTGCAGAGCAAGCTATGGGGAACCATGAAGGACCTGCAGCTGACAAGCGAGTTTATAGAGGCAACCTACCTGATGGTCTGATCTGAACATTGGAAACCAAACGCGAAGAAGAAGGACACTTACAACAGCCAACCATCCTCAGCATGAGGAAACCAGACTACAATTGCAGAATATCATCACCCACACACAGCCAGTCAATGCATATTTACTATAACTCCCTGTGGCTAACGCATGATCCATGAAGACTTACATATCAGTGATCCTAGGCTAGATTATAGTACTAAGGCACAACCATGTAATTCGACTCGTTCCTAGTTACAGACACAGAGTTATGAGCCACCTTAATCTTGGAACTGTCCCTAGTTGAGAGCATAATGCATTTTATTTAACTAAATGTAGGTCACACACACACACACAGTTGGTGCGCGTGAATACAAATGTTTTTTAGCCAAGTAAGATCCATGCTGGCTGCAATAGACAAACAAGAGGTTTGCACGGAGTCAACTGAATCCGATCCATAACTTCACTATAACATTCGCGGCTCTCCTGTAAACTATGGCCGGCAGACAACAGTAGACGGCCGGTTAGTCAGAGTTCTGTCCCTTGGCTACAGTGCAATTACGGAGTGGAAAAGGCACGAATCCCAACACAAAGTGACATTGACATGGCTTGCAGACCCCGCGCTGCGACTCAAATTAGCAACCGCATTCAATTACTGCTTCTTGCGACTCATTACGGAGTGGACTAGAGGGAACGACACAAGTGACATACTTACTGTGTGTTGGCGATAGACAGCGTGCAGTGCCCTACTGTCATCATACGGTTAGGGTTTGGATTAGGGTTAGAGTTAGGGGTAGGGTTTGGGTTAGGTTTAGGGTTAGGGTTAGGTTTAGGGTTAGGGTTTGGGTTGCTACTATTAGTTTGTGCGAAGACGAGATGCGGTGACACTAACCGTAACCCTAACCCACACCCTAACTCTAACCCAAACCGTATGATTATAGCAGGGCAGTGCACGCTGTTTATCGCCAACACACAGTAATTGTGTCAATTGTTTTCCACTCCGTACTTGCACTGTAGCCAAGGGACAAAACTCCGACTAGCCGGCCGTCTACTATTGTCTACCGGCCGTAGTTGACAGGGGAGCCACATTTGCTGAATCCGGTTAAAATGGACGCTAGGCAGCGGCGCCGTTTGAAACAGAGGCACATTTTTTGCTTCTGCCGATGCATTTTTGCTCCATTTGTAGACTGGATATAGTTTCGTCGCCCAGCTTCTGAGTTGAATGCATGGCGTGACCCTGTGAGCTGCGGATTGCATTTGGAATGTTTTTTTTCGACTGTGACCAACGTGGTGGTGTGAATTGTAGATTCAGAAAATGGCGCGATGCCTGTCGTTCAATGCTTGCGGGACCCGTATTAAAATTGATCACGCGGACAACTGCTGATCTGTTGACCACAAGTTCTGCTATCATCAATGATGAACTGCATTTCTAATGTTGGACTGTTTGTGTTAGCACTTCGGATGGCTACCATATGCTTTAATGCGAGTGTATGCTAGATATGCTGAGACAGCAGTCTGTCAATCTTTCCACAAGGGACTGTGATAGACATTCTGAGTGTTTTTCGTTGGCACAGGAGCGGAGCAAAGATGGGGCAACCCGTTTGCTATGAAGCTGAAACTAAGACTACCAGACTACCATTTGCTGAATACTTGTAACTATGTTTAGTCTACTCTAATAGAAAGTAACATTATTATAATGTTACTGTCTATTAGAGTAGACTAAACAGCACATAGTTACTAGTACTCAGCAAATATTATAGTGAATATAATGATTATATTTTCAACTTTCTTACACTTCACTGCTGTGCGGAAGAAGTGAATCGTTCAAGTTTAAGGGTAACTCAACGACCCTCATTCTTTCTTCGTTTTTAGCAGCAAGGAGAAACCTTAGTTTAAACAATACAGACAATTCACTGCAATAATTTTAATACAAACCGTTAGAGAAATATACCGTTTATCACGATAACAAGGGGCATACAGTTCTGTACAGAACGTTGTCTGTACCTCACGGTTCAATGTTTACAGACAGGACGCTGCCATTTTGACACATACAGCTGTAATAACAATAACAACAAAACAGCTAAGTTTCTACCAAACATAATAATCAGACGCTAACTTTTAAAATATTTACCTTCATTTCATCCGATAATAGTACATCAATGGCACGAGAAGGAAAAGAATAATTGTTGTGTTGGCATTGTTGCAGCAGTAAGCAGCAAGGGAGAGCAGCCAGTGAGTGAGTGAGGCGCCCCGGGTGGCGCCCCTTGTCTGGACTAGAGCAGGGCAGGATGGCAGACGACGAGACCGGGGATGTTAGCGATGTTTTTGTCGCCGTGCATGCAGGTCTGTCTCTGTGTGTCGGCTTTGTTTGTTGCAGACTTTCTCTATGCCTTCTGCACTGTACAATGTGTGCCTTATATGTTGGTTGCAAGGTTTGTATTCTTTGTCTGCGCCGTACCAGTGTTCAAACTCAGCTATCCTCCGAATAACGGTCCCAAATTATCGAGGCCGAAAATATACCATAACAGAGCCTCAGTTACACATAAATTGCGGACTCCCGGCGACTGTCGCCACCGCTGAGAGTATCTCCCACGCCGCTACGTGCAGCGGGGCTAAACTAGATGGCTGGGACTCACGAGCAAATAAAATGAAGGACGCTGCAGGAGATGCAGTAGCTGCTGCTAGTGAGTCCCAGCCATATAGTTTAGCCCCGCTAGTTTAGCCAGATATAGGTTCATACTTGTTTGACAGTCAGATGTAGGTCTACATTCATACTTGTTTGACAGTCAGATGTAGCTCTCCGTTCATACTTGTTTGACAGTCAGATGTAGGTCTACATTCATACTTGTTTAACAGTCAGATGTAGGTCTCCATTCATACTTGTTTCACAGTCAGATGTAGGTCTCCATTCATACTTGTTTCACAGTCAGATGTAGGTCTCCATTCATACTTGTTTCACAGTCAGATGTAGGTCTCCATTCATACTAGTTTCACAGTCAGATGTAGGTCTCCATTCATACTTGTTTCACAGTCAGATGTAGCTCTCCATTTATACTTGTTTGACAGTCAGATGTAAGTCTACATTCATACTTGTTTAACAGTCAGATGTAGGTCTCCATTCATACTTGTTTCACAGTCAGATGTAGGTCTCCATTTATACTTGTTTCACAGTCAGATGTAGGTCTCCATTTATACTTGTTTCACAGTCAGATGTAGGTCTCCATTCATACTTGTTTCACAGTCAGATGTAGGTCTCCATTCATACTTGTTTCACAGTCAGATGTAGGTCTCCATTTAAACTTGTTTCACAGTCAGATGTAGGTCTCCATTTATACTTGTTTCACAGTCAGATGTAGGTCTCCATTCATACTTTTTTTTTTCAATCAGCAGTCGGGCCTGGCCAGTGTTCAGCAATTGATAATGTGGAACATGAGACACATGGAGCTGAAGCAGCTGTTAAAGTAGCCAGAGATAAACTGGTATGAAGAAGGGAAGAAATCAGGCATGGTTGAATGCTGTCCATACCAGTTCACTGTCTGTGCATAAAGTGAATTGAGAAGTATCAAAGGTTTTGAGACCTGAAACAGTTTCGATCCATTCATAATTGGCAGCAATCCAGATTTAGAATTCAATTAAACAAGATGGCACAGTTCTGCTATTAGTGAAATGGGGCTAGAACAGAGAATTCAGTCATTCAGGCAGGTGCCTAAGGCAGGGGAAGGCAAGAAAATGCCTGAGGCAGGTGAAGACAAGGAAATGCATGAGGCAGGGGAAGGCAAGAAAATGCCTGAGGCAGGTGAAGACAAGGAAATGCCTGAGGCAGGGGAAGACAAGAAAATGCCTGAGGCAGGTGAAGACAAGGAAATGCATGAGGCAGGGGAAGACAAGGAAATGCCTGAGGCAGGGGAAGACAAGAAAATGCCTGAGGCAGGTGAAGACAAGGAAATGCCTGAGGCAGGGGAAGGCAAGAAAATGCCTGAGGCAGGTGAAGACAAGGAAATGCATGAGGCAGGGGAAAGCAAGAAAATGCCTGAGGCAGGGGAAGGCAAGAAAATGCCTGAGGCAGGGGAAGGCAAGAAAATGCATGAGGCAAGGAAAGGCAGGTGTATGCATGAGGCAAGGGGAAGGCAGGTGTATGCATGAGGCAGGGGAAGGCAGGTGAATGCATGAGGCAAGGAAAGGCAGGTGAATGCATGAGGCAGGGGAAGGCAGGTGAATGCATGAGGCAAGCAAAGGCAGGTGAATGCATGAGGCAAGGAAAGGCAGGTGAAAGCATGAGGCAAGGAAAGGCAGGTGAAAGCATGAGGCAGGGGAAGGCAGGTGAATGCATGAGTCAGGGGAAGGCAGGGGAAGGCAGGTGAGTGCATGAGGCAGGGGAAGGCAGGTGAATGCATGAGGCAAGGAAAGGCAGGTGAATGTATGAGACAGGGCAACTGGCTAGAAACAAATCGTCAAAGACTGGTTCTTCTTTTTCTTCAGCATTCCAAGCCCTTGAGGTTCATTGCTGCAGATATCACCTGCCTCCATTCATCTCGCTGGTTGGCCCTCTCTTTCCATTTGGTGACACCAAGTGTTCTTGTCTGCCTGGTGGTCTATGACCATTTATCTCCCTGGTGTATACAGTTTTTATTTCTCTGTCCTCTGACATTCTTTCAGTATGTCCCAACCATTTGAGTCTGCTAGCTCTCATGATGCCAGTGATCAGTGGTGATTTAAACAGATTATGTATTTATGAATCAAAAACTGGTTAAGTTTTAAAAAAATTGTATGTATTATCAGGGTCAAACTAAGGTGATGGAAGTATGTTCGTTCAAGTGCTGGCTAAAGTGAAAGTCAAGAATTTGGTGAAAACCGGTGATATCTTCATGACTTGATTAGACAACACCTCCAATTACATATTTGTTAATCTGTGAGTTTTGCTTTCATACACAGGTGCTGGCAACCACTCCAAGTCACATGAACACGTGTATAAGTCTGTGTGTACTCTAGCCTGCCAGCAGGTGAGGCTAATGTTGTCAGATATTTCCTTTTTATGAGTCTGGCTTGTCCAGGTGAGGCTGGTGATGTCAGATATTCTCTTTTGTGAGTTTGGCTTGTCCAGGTGTGGCTGGTGATGTCAGATATTCTCTTTTGTGGGTCTCACTTGTCCAGGTGTGGCTGGTGATGTAAGATATTCTCTTTTGTGAGTTTGGCTTGTCCAGGTGTGGCTGGTGATGTCAGATATTCTCTTTTGTGAGTTTGGCTTGTCCAGGTGTGGCTGGTGATGTCAGATATTCTCTTTTGTGAGTTTGGCTTGTCCAGGTGTGGCTGGTGATGTCAGATATTCTCTTTTGTGAGTTTGGCTTGTCCAGGTGTGGCTGGTGATGTCAGATATTCTCTTTTGTGAGTTTGGCTTGTCCAGGTGTGGCTGGTGATGTCAGATATTCTCTTTTGTGGGTCTCACTTGTCCAGGTGTGGCTGGTGATGTCAGATATTCTCTTTTGTGAGTTTGGCTTGTCCAGGTGAGGCTGGTGATGTCAGATATTCTCTTTTGTGAGTCTGGCTTGTCCAGGTGAGGCTGGTGATGTCAGATAGTCTATTTTGTGAGTTTGGCTTGTCCAGGTGTGGCTGGTGATGTCAGATATTCTCTTTTGTGGGTCTCACTTGTCCAGGTGTGGCTGGTGATGTCAGATATTCTCTTTTGTGGGTCTCACTTGTCCAGGTGTGGCTGGTGATGTAGATATTCTCTTTTGTGAGTTTGGCTTGTCCAGGTGAGGCTGGTGATGTCAGATATTCTCTTATGTGAGTCTGGCTTGTCCAGGTGAGGCTGGTGATGTCAGATAGTCTCTTTTGTGAGTTTGGCTTGTGTGGGTAAAGAGAATGATGTCACTATTATCAGGTCCAGTGATATTTCATCTTGTGGGTTTGGCTTGTGTGGGTAAAGAGAATGATGTCACTATCATCAGGTCCAGTGATATTTCATCTTGTGAGTCTGGCATGTGCGGGTAAAGAGAATGATGTCACTATCATCAGGTCCAGTGATATTTCTTCTTGTGAGTTTGGCATGTGCAGGTAAAGAGAATGATGTCACTATTATCAGGTCCAGTGATATTTCATCTTGTAAGTTTGGCATGTGCGGGTAAAGAGAATGATGTCACTATCATCAGGTCCAGTAATATTTCATCTTGTGAGTCTGGCTTGTGCGCGTAAGTGATGTCACTATCATCAGGTCCAGTGATATTTCATCTTGTGAGTTTGGCTTGTGCGGGTAAAGAGAATGATGTCACTATCATCAGGTCCAATGATATTTCATCTTGTGAGTCTGGCTTGTGCGTGTAAAGAGAATGATGTCACTATCATCAGGTCCAGTGATATTTCATCTTGTAAGTTTGGCATATGCGGGTAAAGAGAATGATGTCACTATCATCAATCAGGTCCAGTGATATTTCATCTTGTGAGTTTGGTTTGTGCGGGTAAAGAGAATGATGTCACTATCATCAGGTCCAGGGATATTTCATCTTGTAAGTCTGGCTTGTGCACGTAAATGATGTCACTATCATCAGGTCCAGTGATATTTCATCCTGTGAGTTTGGCATGTGCGGGTAAAGAGAATGATGACACTATCATTAGGTCCAGTGATATTTCATTTTGTGAGTTTGGCTTGTGCGGGTAAAGAGAATGATGTCACTATCATCAGGTCCAGTGATATTTCATCTTGTGAGTTTGGCATGTGCGGGTTAATGATGTCACTATCATCAGGTCCACTGATATTTCATCCTGTGAGTTTGGCTTGTGCGGGTAAAGAGAAGGAATTCTCATCAGGTCCAGTGATATTTCATCTTGTGAGTTTGGCTTTTGCGGGTAAAGAGAATGATGTCACTATCATCAAGTCCATGATATTTCATTCTGTGAGTTTGGCATGTGCGGATAAATGATGTCACTATCATCAGGTCAAGTGATATTTCATCCTGTGGGTAAAGAGAATGATGTCACTATCATCGTCCATGATATTTCCTCCTGTGAGTTTGGCATGTGCGGGTAAATGATGTCACTATCATCAGGTCAAGTGATATTTCATCCTGTGGGTAAAGAGAATGATGTCACTATCATCGTCCATGATATTTCCTCCTGTGAGTTTGGCATGTGCGGGTAAATGATGTCACTATCATCAGGTCCAGTGGTATTTCATCTTGTGAGTTTGGCTTGTGCAGCTGAGAGAGGGTTGTTTTTGTAGTCTGTCTTGGTGGAATATTGCACTGATAGGCTGCACTAACCCGAGTGGAGCACCCGTCTTTGTGCACATGGGTGCAGAACTAATGAGATTTTAAATCCAGATAGTTCAGACCCAGGCTTGTTTTTTACATTCTCAGTCCTAACATGTACACAAGTATCTGGGACATGCACACAAGTATCTGTGACATGCACACAAGTATCTGGGACATGCACACAAGTATCTGGGACATGCACACAAGTATCTGGGACATGCACACAAGTATCTGGGACATGCACACAGGGATCTGGGACATGCACACAAGTATCTGGGACATGCACACAAGTATCTGGGACATGCTCACAAGTATCTGGGACATACACACAAGTATCTGAGACATGCACACAAGTATATGAGACATGCACACAAGTATCTGGGACATGCACACAAGTATCTGGGACATGCACACAAGTATCTGGGACATGCACACAGGTATATGGGACATGCACACAAGTATCTGGGACATGCACACAAGTATATGGGACATGTACACAAGTATCTGGGACATGTACACAAGTATATGAGACATGCACACAAGTATCTGGGACATGGACACAAGTATCTGGGACATGCACACAAGTATCTGGGACATGCACACAAGTATCTGGGACATGCACACAAGTATCTGGGACATGCACACAAGTATCTGGGACATGTACACAGGTATCTGGGACATGTACACAGGTATCTGGGACATGTACACAAGTATCTGGGACATGCACACAAGTATCTGGGACATGGACACAAGTATCTGGGACATGCACACAAGGATCTGGGACATGTACACAGGTATCTGGGACATGTACACAGGTATATGGGACATGGACATACATGGTTACAACTGAATATTTGTGTACTGTCAAGGCTATGACCCTGCTGAAGGCAAGAAGGTCAGCACTCGAAGCCGTTACAGCAGCTGTGGTTGTTTTGGAGGTAAATATCATTTCCTTCTTCACTTGATCATGTAGCCAGAGATACAGTAGTATTTCAGTTATCTTAATTATCTCTATACTATAGTGTACCTTAGGAGAATCTACAAGAATACTTGGTTATGCAGATGGCATTGATATCGTTGGAGAAAATGAACTAGATAGTGTTAAAACACCTGACTCTCTTCAAAGAATCAATTCAGAAAATGGGACTAGTTATCAATCAAGATAAGACAGAATACATGAAATTCATAATCTGTTTAAATCACCATTAATCACTGGCATTATGAGAGCCAATGGGCTGAAATGGCTGGGGCATATTGAGAGAATGTCAATGACAGAAAAGTAAAAAATGTCATCGCCGGGATTCAAACTATTTTTTGTTTTGTTTTAAAAAGAAGCGACAAACAACAGATGGGATGTTAGGGCAAATGTAAAGTTCTGTATGACCTTGAGTGAACGTGAGGTTTAGCTAAGAAGATAGGGCACATCAAAAAGACGGTGGTTGCCACAACTGCAGATGTTATCCTCGACACCAGTGAGAAGACGTGGCAGGAGATGGAATACCTTCCAGACATTACCAGACTTACAAATGGTTCCCACGTTGAAGTATACTAAGTTAGGTCTATAGATTAAACGTGTTCTGAACATTTTAAGAAGCCATATGATGAAATATTTATGGTATAATAACAGTGTAAAATCTTGGCAATTACTCAGTGACCGTGTTGAGCATTTGTAACAGAACAGTGGAGACGTAACGCAGTGGCAGGTCCGAATATCACAGGAAACAAATCAGCATTGACTCGAGAGCTGTCCTAAAGAGTACAGGCAACTAGCGTCGTGCTACACAAAATGGCTCCGGCACCGTTTATCCAATGCGACAAATCCATTAAAAGGGTACTTCGTTAGTTTACTCACCAAACTTTTAGCTCCGCAGCTTGACTACTGTATTGATGGTACGACACTGGGCTATGGATTTCATTTAGAATCCTTCCCGTGTGGGTTCCAGGGCCCTATTATAGGGAAAATCAGAAAAGAGCCACTGCCTACCCAAAGCATGTCGTAAGAGTCGACTAATTAGGAGCTTCCTTCGAATTCGGATTGCATAATCCTTAATCTGGTCTTTTTAGTTTTGATTTGTTTTAATAAGGTATTGTTTAACCAGTTTTTGGATGTCTTTATTGCTATCTACCTTTAAACATTTGTTTGCAGTAATTTGTTGTTTGCGTTCTAGAAAAGTCTTTTGCCGGTTCAAGAATGCTTTTGTCTGGAAGCTTCAGATTTCCTGCCCATACCCAGGCCTAGACTAGAATACTGAGTCATGACTTTTGCTTTACCACAACGGCAGAGACGTGGTCTGTCACTGCCATAAAATCTTACTCTGGTGATTAAACCACACGTTTCTCTTAAGACAATCGCCTTATTCATAGTTAAGGCATTTTGAACCCAGTGAGTTTCAATGTTCAGCATACCTACATCTGGATTCTTATTATTTATTTTATGTTTGTTTTGTCTGCTGTTGTTACTATTTATGAAGCATTAGTATTTTTTCTTATTTCTGTTATTATTATTATCATCACTGATGTTATTGTTATTATTATTTCCACCGCTACTACGATTATTACTCTTACTGGGACTTTTTTATTATGACTATGATTATTACTATTCTTGCTGCTTTGTTGATTTGATTATTTTTTTTGTTCCACACCTTTTCCTCTTCCTATATTTTATAATTTTTTGTTTCACCCCACCTCCTTATTTCAGATGGGTATTGTTGACTATGGCGATAAACGAGGGCAACAATTGAGATAACATAAAAATGACCACAAGTGACAATTTTGCAGAATTTATGCCTTACGCGTTTGGCCAAAATAATGTTTTCAAAAATTTGCCAATTTAGTCTCAGTCTATCATTTCACACTTGACGAGATACTCAATATGATAAATTGGACACCTTGGAGCTCGTTGGTGACAGAAAAATAGATAAGATAAAAGTGAAAAACAAATTTTACGAAGAATTGTTCCTAACAACTTGTTTGTGTCCTACCACTAAACATTGAGTCCCAGACAATTATTTTACACATGAATAGACACACTAGAGCAGAGTAGGTAAACTAAATGTCTGATTTGGCATTTTGGTACAATCTGGGGACAACAATTGAGATAACATAAAAATGACCACAAGTGACATTTTTCCAGAATTTATGCCTTTCGCGTTTGGATAAAATCATATTTTCCAAAAAGTTGCCAATTTAGTCTCAGTCTATCATTTCACACTTGACGAGATACTCTAGATGAGAAATTTGACACTTTGAAACTCATAGGTGACAGAAAAATAGATAAGATAAAAGTGAAAAACAAATTTTACGAAAAAATGTTCCTAACAACTTGTTTGTGTCCTACCACTAAAAAGTGAGTCCCAGACAATTATTTTACACATGAATAGACACGCTAGATGCAGAGTAGTTAAACTGGATGTCTGATTTGGCATTTTTGTACAATCTGGGGGCAACAATTGAGATAACATAAAAATGACCACAAGTGACAATTTTGCAGAATTTATGCCTTACGCGTTTGGCCAAAATAATATTTGCAAAAAAATTGCCAATTTAGTCTCAGTCTACTCTGTGCGTCCACTCTATCTTGTGCATCCACTCTATCTTGTGCATCCACTCTATCTTGTGCATCCACTCTATCTTGTGCAATCCTGTCAATATCATGGCTGGAATCCTCAGAGTTTCTCCTGGATGTCGTTTGTTTCCTCAATCCATTTCCCATTTCAGTGCCTGTTCAGTGATTCACAATCAGCTTCATACGATGTGCCCAAAATATTAACATTGTTCTTTTCTTATGAGTGTTGACACCAAACAGATATTTGTCGTTTCCTTGCCTGTCTTGACTTATTCCTATTTAACATTCATTGGTTTCCTGAGGCCTCTGATTCTGAAGGCATTTAACTAGTGGTTCTTCAACTGTTACTTTAGTGGTTCTCTAACTGTTACTTTAATGGTTCTCTAACTGTTACTTTAGTGGTTCTTCAACTGTTACTTTAGTGGTTCTTCAACTGTTACTTTAGTGGTTCTTCAACTGTTACATTAGTGGTTCTTCAACTGTTACTTTAGTGGTTCTTCAACTGTTACTTTAGTGGTTCTCTAACTGTTACTTTAGTGGTTCTTCAACTGTTACATTAGTGGTTCTCCAACTGTAGTGTACACGTAGTGATCATTAATTCGAGGCTGGCGAAGTGCATGGGAATTCACAGTGAACTGACGTGGGAAAACTATTAGGGAGATGATGGCACCTTCCCTGTTACAACTAGCAGCATTACAAAGGAAACGATGACTGTAACAAGGACACTAGAATGACTGAGTACTCTGAAGTTCACATACTTCTGCTCACTTAATGATTCAATGAATATGTTTGAGAACATCCAGGCTGAATTCTTCAGGCAAGAATTAATTAGGTCACTAAGCACTTTGCGAATGGCTGGCCCAACCATTACCTTTGTCCCGGGTATATCGGATGTTCGAGGCAACGAGCGTGCAGACACTGATTGGCTGTATCACCTACCACGTGTGCCAGTGCCGTCTGCCAATGGGGATCAACTTTGGGGAGGCCACTCTGACCATAACCTTCTCATGGTGCTACTGGCTGACCCTTGCTTCAGGTGGGTTTCTGGGTAACCTTTTTAGGGATCATTATATTCAATGAAACAAATTCTTCACTTGCACACTTCATGCCGACTGTCCTAGCCAAAGAGCCCTAAAACCTTAGGCTGAAGGAACCACACCATCGGCCTAAGGGGCCCTAAGTAATGGTCCTTTTATAAACTTTTATTAAGTTTGCTTTTGTTTGCTTGTCTGTCTTAATGTTTTGTCTTTCATATATTTGTTGACAGTTGAAATCAATCAGATTTAAGCTACTGCCCGTACTATCTAAGAGTTTGTTGACGGCTTTCCGTCTTTAAAGACAATAGTATTAAATTATGTAATAGGAAGAGACGACAAGAGAATCACAAAAATGGCAGTGAAAATAGAGCGATTCAGAAAAACCAGGACGTCCAAGAGAAACCCTAGGGCGAACTTTGATGAGAGAAGCTAAAGGAGGCTTCCATACATGCAGAGCCAATACATGGTGCTCTGGTACTGGGCTCACCCAAGGAACATTAACATCCCGCTCATGACTGTTTAACCTCACTTCCACACATTGGGCCTCTCATTCATTACGGCCGACACCTTTAAAAGCCTGCAGGATTCAACACAAAATGAGTACTTGCTTCTTATGCATGTAAGACTTCAGTGCCAATCAATATGTACCATGCTGTTCCAATGCCTTTAATGATTCTCCAGCGATTGCTTTCAGGCGCAGAATGGGTTAAATACTGTATCTAAACAACATTACACAACAGTAAAGCTCCACCAGGCGATTCCGTTTCATCTCAAAATGTCACTGTATTTGTCTTCGTGGTGTATCTAACGTATGGCACTGATCACATTCCAGTTAGGCAGAACTTGGCTAATCATGTGTATATGATAATTTTCAAACTAATAGTCTCTATATATATAGTGTGGCTGTTCATTCCTGCATAATTAAATGAGACAGTCCATTCCGGTATGGAGGGGCCTTCAAGAAGAGAATGCGAAAGAAGGAAGAAAGGATAGGTATATTTTAAAACATACCTACCGTTTTTTCTTTATTCTGCCACATGTACACTATTAAAATGCTGCTCTGAAAGACTCCGCCTGTCACAGCAATGTCTCGGAACTGCAGGGGCTATAAGTACCCGACCGTACAGCTCTACTGTCCTGATTGATGAGACTGTCACTCTAATAACTCCCTAGACTTTAGAGATACCGTCAGTAGAGAACATCTAGGCCGATGAACTCAAGGACAAAATCAGTTCTCAGGGACTCTTGACGACGCGTCCTTTCTCTCCGACGTGCTGGAGTCAACTGCTTCTTTCACTTCCAGGAGTTAACTGTTTCTAATCCAACACGTAGCTCACCATCTCTACGTGTATTCTCTCATGCCTAGCATAAAGACCGTGGGTCACAGTCAGTCATGAGAACCTTTGTCTCCTACACAGACCAACCCTCACCGATTAGTTCACCTATGTCTCCACACAGACCAAACCTCACAGATTAGTTCACCTATGTCTCCACACAGACCAACCCTCACAGATTAGTTCACCCCTATGTCTCCACACAGACCAACCCTCACAGATTAGTTCACCTATGTCTCCACACAGACCAACCCTCACCGATTAGTTCACCTGTTTCCACACAGACCAACCCTCACCGATTAGTTCACCTATGTCTCCACACAGACCAACCCTCACCGATTAGTTCACCTATGTCTCCACACAGATCAACCCTCACCGATTAGTTCACCTATGTCTCCACACAGACTTGATGTGTCCAGTGATGTGATGTGTCCAGTGACATGATGTGTCCAGTGATGTGTCCAGTGATGTGTCCAGTGACATGATGTGTCCAGTGACATGATGTGTCCAGTGACATGATGTGTCCAGTGACATGATGTGTCCAGTGACATGATGTGTCCAGTGACATGATGTGTCCAGTGATGTGTCCAGTGACATGATGTGTCCAGTGAGGAGATGTGTCCAGTGACATGATGTGTCCAGTGACATGATGTGTCCAGTGATGTGTCCAGTGACATGATGTGTTCAGTGACATTATTTTTCCAATGATGAATCTAGTGACATGACATGTCTAGTGACATGACGTGTCCAGTGACATGATGTGTCCAGTGACATGGTGTATAGACCAGCTGTAATGCAGCTGTCGCATTTCTGTTATTGCTTTTATATATTGACTAGCTGTACCCAGCCACCAGTTGCTGTGGCACTAAATGGAAAAGAAAGAAAATAAAAATCGCACGTGTCTAATATGGTTACTGTCGCAATCATTGTCTGCGCACATACAGAGATAGTCTTCGATGCCCTCTCCCACCCCCTTCCCAAATCCACCTACTACTCGTTCCTTTATCAAACGCTTTTGGAAAAGAAAGACAATAGAAATCGCATGTCTTATATAGTTAATGTCGCAATCGTTCTCTGAACAAATATAGAGATAGTCTGGTTTGCCACTTTAGAAATCGCAACATATAATTGTGTCTTTATATTAGTGGTCGTTTAAATGGTATTATTAACACAGGAAAAAAAAAATAGTTATTTGGTTATCACATGCTAAAGCTGTATTTGTAAAAAAACTAAGTAAGTCGTTACAAAAAATGACAATAGCGGAGGTAGCGTTAGTAAAATATAAACAAATTAAGAAATGAACACTTTTAAAATCATGAGTTAAGCTCTTTAAGTTAACAATTTCTGTCATCACCCCTCCCCTCCCCCATCCACGAATACTGCTCTCTGCCTCATCGAAGGATTTGAAAGTCATCACCTGACGATATTTTTTGTAACTGACCTTGATACCCCTGTCGATCTGGACTAAAATAGCTAGCAGGAATTGTAATGAGTAGTAAATGCGGCTAGTGTAATATTTACCACACTATCCTTCAAGTACCAGTACAACTACTACCACCACCACCACAATAAGTAAATAATGTCACTGCTATCTGTTTTACCATCAGAGTAGACAGGGAGTCGTGAGCCAGAAGATTTGGCTCCGCAAGGCTAGTGCTGTCGCCACAGACTGGTCAGGTTAGGATGTGTAATTTCACTCCCCGACAGAAAAATGCCATCACCTTACCGGCGGTCTCCGGCATGACAGCACTACGGTGTAACCGCCCAACCTCAACTACTACTACTGCTGCTAATACTTTGAGTGGGTAAGGCAGTTACTGTGACTTAAAGCTCTCTCAGTTAACAGTTTATGCTACCGTTCCCCCCCCCCCCCCCCCCTCATTCACAGACTACTCTTTCCTTCATCGAAGTAGTTTGGAGGAAAAAACCAAAGTGAAATGCAACGAAAACAGGAAAAATACACTATAATTATGAAATGAACGCTATGATAAACAACACAGCCTAATTAAAAAGCAATGTCAGAAGAAATAATTAAATCGAAAGGAAAATAAATGGAAATCTATGAAAATTCAGAGTAATCATGCAATCTGAAAGTTTGAAATAAAATCAAAAGTATGCGAAATGGTCAAATTTAATTATCAACTGGTTTACCCACATACCTGTACTTTTTTAAAAGTATTTATGGCCACATGGCTAGTTCTGTCGCCACGACAGTGCAGGTCTAGGTTTTATTTTGCCCCTGGGTAAAAAAAAAAAAAACATAGCCATACTGGGGATTCAAACCCTAGTCTCCCGCATGGGAACCCAGTGTACTAACCAATCGGCCAGCCAACCACTTCTTCTAATCAACGAAAAGAGAACAAAACCATGCAAGATGTGTGTCCCGATTCTAACTAAACTCAAAACCGCACGCAATTGTTTTCTCATAAACAGATATCCCAGATATAAACTTCAAGTATTATTGAAACGGCACAATAATAGAAATTGTACGTCTAACATGGTAAATGTCGCAATCACTGTCTGCGCAGACATAGTCTTTGATCGCCCCCCCCCCCCCCCCCCCCATCCCCCTTTCTCAAATCCACCGATTACTCTCTAACTCATCGAAGGTTGTTTGAAAAGACAGAAAATAGAAATCGTGTCTAATAATATGGTTAACGTCGCAATCAGCGATATAGAGATAGTCTGGTTTGTTGCATCACGCCGGCGAATGGTGGAAGTCATGCGTTCCCACTACTGCGCATGCACATTTACAAACGTGGCTTTCATTGGATGTCACTAAAATGGAAATATTAGATTCAAAAATTTTCTTAACAAATGTCGCCACCTATCTCTAACAATGACAGGTATAATTTCAAACCATGACGGGTAAAAATCTGGTATCAAAACAAACATATCCTGAAAATTTCAGCTAAATCGGTTCAGTAGTTTCCGAGTCTATAGATCATAAACAAACACACAAACATTGATTTTTATATATATAGATTATTATTATTGTTATTGTTAGCATTATTATCACATTTGGTAACATCATTGCTAGTTATTATTGCGTGTACTTATGACCTACTGACAGATTTTACAAGATATTCATTGTTTTATGTTTGTAAATTTGTGTGTGTGCGTTTGTGTCCCCGGTGTCGTGGTGCTTGTTATTATGTTTACTTAGTTGCTAGATAGTATGGCTGCAACCTCCTCAGAATGACGAGTGCACCAATGCTGGAAGAGGCTCCAACCTGTCCATGCAAGGCACGGTGGAATGTGATGCCAGCGTCATGGATGGACATTCGCTGTTATTTGGAGCCGTTGGAGCTCTGTCAGGTGGGTTCTTGATTGTTGATATGTGCTAGAGACAAAGAAGTAGATCATTATCTTTTGCTCGTCATTTCATTGAAACCGAGCTTTAAAAAAAAAAAAAAGGCAGTGTGCATTGAACTGACATGCAGACATTGTGCACCAAGACAAGCACACAGACATTGTGCACCAAGACAAGCACACAGACATTGTGCACCAAGACAAGCACACAGACATTGTGCACCAAGACAAGCTCACAGACATTGTGCACCAAGACAAGCACACAGACATTGTGCACCAAGACAAGCACACAGACATTGTGCATTTGAACAGACATAGACAGTAAACAACGAGATAAGCGCAGAGTGTACAGTGAGATAAACACACAGACAGTGTACAGTGAGATAAGCACAGAGTGTCAATGAGATAAGCACACAGACGGTGTACAGTGAGATAAGCACACAGACGGTGTACAGTGAGATAAGCACACAGACGGTGTACAGTGAGATAAGCACACAGACGGTGTACAGTGAGATAAACACACAGACAGTGTACAGTGAGATAAGCACACAGACAGTATACAGTGAGATAAGCACACAGACGGTGTACAGTGAGATAAGCACACAGACAGTGTACAGTGAGATAAACACACAGACGGTGTACAGTGAGATGAGCACACAGACAGTGTACAGTGAGATAAACACACAGACAGTGTACAGTGAGATAAGCACAGAGTGTCAATGAGATAAGCACACAGACGGTGTACAGTGATATAAGCACACAGACGGTGTACAGTGGGATAAACACACAGACGGTGTACAGTGAGATAAGCACACAGACGGCGTACAGTGAGATAAGCACATAGACGGCGTACAGTGAGATAAGCACACAGATGGCGTACAGTGAGATAAACACACATACGGTGTACAGTGAGATAAACACACAGACGGTGTACAGTGAGATAAACACACAGACGGTGTACAGTGAGATAAACACACAGATGGTGCACAGTGAGATAAGCACACAGACGGTGTACAGTGAGATAAGCACACAGACGGCGTACAGTGAGATAAGCACACAGACGGTGTACAGTGAGATAAACACACAGACGGTGTACAGTGAGATAAACACACAGACGGTGTACAGTGAGATAAACACACAGACGGCGTACAGTGAGATAAAAACACAGACAGTGTACAGTGAGATAAACACACAGACGGCGTACAGTGAGATAAACACACAGACGGTGTACAGTGAGATAAACACACAGACGGTGTACAGTGAGATAAACACACAGATGGTGTACAGTGAGATAAGCACACAGATGGTGTACAGTGAGATAAGCACACAGATGGTGTACAGTGAGATAAACACACAGATGGTGTACAGTGAGATAAACACACAGACGGTGTACAGTGAGATAAGCACACAGACGGTGTACAGCAAGATAAGCACATAGACGGTGTACAGTGAGATAAGCACATAGATGGTGTACAGTGAGATAAACACACAGACGGTGTACGGTGAGATAAGCAAAAAGACGGTGTACGGTGAGATAAGCACATAGATGGTGTACGGTGAGATAAGCACATAGATGGTGTACAGTGAGATAAACACACAGATGGTGTACAGTGAGATAAACACACAGACGGTGTACAGTGAGATAAGCACACAGACGGTGTACAGCGAGATAAGCACATAGACGGTGTACAGTAAGATAAGCACATAGATGGTGTACAGTGAGATAAACACACAGACGGTGTACGGTGAGATAAGCAAACAGACGGTGTACGGTGAGATAAGCACATAGATGGTGTACAGTGAGATAAGCACATAGATGGTGTACAGTGAGATAAACACACAGACGGTGTACAGTGAGATAAACACACAGACGGTGTACAGTGAGATAAACACACAGACAGTGTACAGTGAGATAAGCACATAGACGGTGTACCGTGAGATAAGCACATAGATGGTGTACAGTGAGATAAGCACACAGACGGTGTACAGTGAGATAAGCACACAGACAGTGTACAGTGAGATAAGCACACAGACGGTGTACAGTGAGATAAGCACACAGATGGTGTACAGTGAGATAAGCACACAGACGGTGTACAGTGAGATAAGCACACAGACAGTGTACAGTGAGATAAACACACAGACGGTGTACAGTGAGATAAACACACAGACAGTGTACAGTGAGATAAGCACACAGACGGTGTACAGTGAGATAAACACACAGACGGTCTACAGTGAGATAAGCACACAGACGGTGTACAGTGAGATAAACACACAGACGGTGTACAGTGAGATAAGCACATAGATGGTGTACAGTGAGATAAACACACAGACGGTGTACAGTGAGATAAACACACAGACGGTGTACAGTGAGATAAACACACAGACAGTGCACAGTGAGATAAGCACACAGACAGTGTACAGTGAGATAAGCACACAGACAGTGTACAGTGAGATAAACACACAGATGGTGTACAGTGAGACACACGCACATACAGTGAGATAATCACACAGATGGTGTACAGTGAGACAAATACGCAGACAGTGAGATAAACAGACAGTGTACATTGAGACAAATACCATCACTTGAGTTGACAATGTGAGTGTTTGAGAGCTGTGTAGAACCAGTTCCTGATCTACTGAAGTGAATCATGGACAGTTAGCTGATTGGGGAGAGACAAATTGAATTGTGGACAGTTAGCTGATTAGGGAGAGACACTGTGGACAGTTAGCTGATTAGGGAGAGACACTGTGGACAGTTAGCTGATTAGGGAGAGACACTGTGGACAGTTAGCTGATTAGGGAGAGACAAATTGAATTGTGGACAGTTAGCTGATTAGTGAGAGACACTGTGGACAGTTAGCTGATTAGTGAGAGACACTGTGGACAGTTAGCTGATTAGTGAGAGACACTGTGGACAGTTAGCTGATTAGTGAGAGACACTGTGGACAGTTAGCTGATTAGTGAGAGACACTGTGGACAGTTAGCTGATTAGTGAGAGACACTGTGGACAGTTAGCTGATTAGTGAGAGACACTGTGGACAGTTAGCTGATTAGTGAGAGACACTGTGGACAGTTAGCTGATTAGTGAGAGACACTGTGGACAGTTAGCTGATTAGTGAGAGACACTGTGGACAGTTAGCTGATTAGTGAGAGACACTGTGGACAGTTAGCTGATTAGTGAGAGACACTGTGGACAGTTAGCTGATTAGTGAGAGACACTGTGGACAGTTAGCTGATTAGTGAGAGACACTGTGGACAGTTAGCTGATTAGTGAGAGACACTGTGGACAGTTAGCTGATTAGTGAGAGACACTGTGGACAGTTAGCTGATTAGTGAGAGACACTGTGGACAGTTAGCTGATTAGTGAGAGACACTGTGGACAGTTAGCTGATTAGTGAGAGACACTGTGGACAGTTAGCTGATTAGTGAGAGACACTGTGGACAGTTAGCTGATTAGTGAGAGACACTGTGGACAGTTAGCTGATTAGTGAGAGACACTGTGGACAGTTAGCTGATTAGTGAGAGACACTGTGGACAGTTAGCTGATTAGTGAGAGACACTGTGGACAGTTAGCTGATTAGTGAGAGACACTGTGGACAGTTAGCTGATTAGTGAGAGACACTGTGGACAGTTAGCTGATTAGTGAGAGACACTGTGGACAGTTAGCTGATTAGTGAGAGACACTGTGGACAGTTAGCTGATTAGTGAGAGACACTGTGGACAGTTAGCTGATTAGTGAGAGACACTGTGGACACGTGTTTCAGGGGTTGCCAACCCTTTGAGCACTTGCTAGTGTAAGTTGTAACTATGACCACGTGTTTCAGGTGTTACCAACCCTTTGAGCACTTGCTAGTGTAAGTTGTAACTATGACCACGTGTTTCAGGTGTTACCAACCCTTTGAGCACTTGCTAGTGTAAGTTGTAACTATGACCACGTGTTTCAGGTGTTACCAACCCTTTGAGCACTTGCTAGTGTAAGTTGTAACTATGACCACGTGTTTCAGGTGTTGCCAACCCTGTGAGCACTTGCTAGTGTAAGTTGTAACTATGACCACGTGTTTCAGGTGTTGCCAACCCTGTGAGCACTTGCTAGTGTAAGTTGTAACTATGACCACGTGTTTCAGGTGTTGCCAACCCTGTGAGCACTTTCTAGTGTAAGTTGTAACTATGACCACTTGTTTCAGGGGTTGCCAACCCTGTGAGCACTTGCTAGTGTAAGTTGTAACTATGACCACGTGTTTCAGGTGTTGCCAACCCTGTGAGCACTTGCTAGTGTAAGTTGTAACTATGACCACGTGTTTCAGGTGTTGCCAACCCTGTGAGTGTTGCTAGTGTAAGTTGTAACTATGACCACGTGTTTCAGGTGTTGCCAACCCTGTGAGCACTTTCTAGTGTAAGTTGTAACTATGACCACTTGTTTCAGGGGTTGCCAACCCTGTGAGCACTTGCTAGTGTAAGTTGTAACTATGACCACGTGTTTCAGGTGTTGCCAACCCTGTGAGCACTTGCTAGTGTAAGTTGTAACTATGACCACGTGTTTCAGGTGTTGCCAACCCTGTGAGTGTTGCTAGTGTAAGTTGTAACTATGACCACGTGTTTCAGGTGTTGCCAACCGTGTGAGCACTTGCTAGTGTAAGTTGTAACTATGACCACGTGTTTCAGGTGTTGCCAACCCTGTGAGCACTTGCTAGTGTAAGTTGTAACTATGACCACGTGTTTCAGGTGTTGCCAACCCTGTGAGTGTTGCTAGTGTAAGTTGTAACTATGACCACGTGTTTCAGGTGTTGCCAACCCTGTGAGCACTTGCTAGTGTAAGTTGTAACTATGACCACGTGTTTCAGGTGTTGCCAACCCTGTGAGTGTTGCTAGTGTAAGTTGTAACTATGACCACGTGTTTCAGGTGTTGCCAACCCTGTGAGTGTTGCTAGGCAGCTAGTGGAGGAACAGAAGCTAGGAGCTCTCTCCTGTGGACGAGTGAGGCCAAGGTCAGTATTCAGTCAGTCTTTCTGATCAGGACATTGACATGGCCAGTGTCCAGCAGAATCTGGACAAGCTGCTGGGTTACAGTGCTGCCAGGCATGGCCATGCCAACATTGTAGACTCTCCGCCATCATTTCTGTCTGTATCTGCTTTTTCTCTTTTTGATCTTTCCAGTCGTCACAGTATTCTCCACTGTCTTTTTTCCTCACAGAAACCACCACAGACTTCTAGGTCGGTCAGTGTGACAGATAGGACATCTATGATGTGATAAGTAGTCATCTATAATGTGATAGGGAGACATCTGTGATGTGATAGGGAGACATCTGTGATGTGATAGGTAGTCATCTATGATGTGATAGGGAGACATCTGTGATGTGATAGGTAGTCATCTATGATGTGATAGGTAATCATCTATGATGTAATAGGGAGACATCTGTGATGTGATAGGTGATCATCTATGATGTGATAGGCAGACATCTGTGGTGTGATGGGGAGTCACCTGTGATGTGATAGGGAGACATCTATGATGGGATGGGGAGTCATTTGTGATTTAATAAGGAGTCATCTGTGATGTGTTAGGGAGACATCTGTGATATGATAGGGAGTCATCTGTGATTTAATGAGTCATCTGGGATGTGATAGGGAGACATCTGTGATATGATAGGGATTCATCTGTGATGTGATAGGGAGACATCTATGATGGGATAGGGAGACATCTATGATGTGATAGGGAGACATCTGATATGTGATAGGGAGACATCTGATATGTGATAGGGAGACATATATGATGGGATAGGGAGACATCTGTGATGTGAAAGGGAGACATCTGTGATATGATAGGGATTCATCTGTGATGTGATAGGGAGACATCTGTGATGTGACAGGGAGACATCTGTGATGTGACAGGGAGACATCTATGATGTGATAGGGAGTCATCTGTGATGTGATAGGGAGTTATCTTTTGTGCGATAATGAGTCATCTGTGATTTAATAGGGAGTCATCTGTGATGTGATAATGAGTCATCTGTGATTTAATAGGGAGTTATCTGTGATGTGATAGGGAGTCATCTGTGATGTGATAGGGAGACATCTGTGATGTGATAGGGTCATCTGTGATGTGATAGGGAGACATCTGTGATGTGATAGGGTCATCTGTGATGTGATAGGGAGACATCTGTGATGTGATAGGGAGACATCTGTGATGTGATAGGGAGACATCTGTGGTGTGATAGGGAGACAGACATCCGTGGTGTGATGGGGAGACACCTGTGATATGATAGAGACATCTGTGATGTGATAGGGAGACATCTGTGATGTGATAGGGAGACATCTGTGATGTGATAGGGAGACATCTGTGATGTGATAGGGAGTCATCTGTTGTGTGATAGGGAGTCATATGTGATGTGATAGGGAGTTATCTTTTGTGTGATAATGAATCATCTGTGATTTAATAGGGAGTCATCTGTAATGTTATAAGGAGACATCTGTGATGTGATAGGGAGACATCTGTGATGTGATAGGGTCATCTGTGATGTGATAGGGAGACATCTGTGGTGTGATAGGTAGACATCTGTGATGTGATAGGGAGACATCTGTGATGTGATAGGGAGACATCTGTGATGTGAAAGGGAGACATTTGTGGTGTGATAGGGAGACAGACATCTGTGGTGTGATGGGGAGACACCTGTTTTACAATAGAGATCTGCGATATGATAGGGAGACATCTGTGATGTGATAGGGAGACATCTATGATGTGATAGGGAGACACCTGTGATGTGATAGAGAGACATCTGTGATGTGATAGGGAGACATTTGTGGTGTGATAGGGAGACATCTGTGATTTGATAGGGAGACATATGTTTAAAGTTCTTGGCTTTGTAAAATGAATGAGTCTTTTGTTATGCTCCCTATTGGTGACTAAAACAAGCCAGCAACTGACCTGTGATTTCTGGATCTTGTGTTTCAGCATACTGGTGGGCAAAGGGGCTCAGCTCTATGCTTGTGACCAGGGCATGGATGTCAGTGCTAACTTGATATCAGGTAATGGGCTTGTTCATTTGGGACATACAAGTACAGGTATCTTACTGTCTTGTTGATTCTTTCTTCTACCCAGGGATGTAGAGGTATCTTACTGTCTTGTTGATTCTTTCTTCTACCCAGGGATGTAGAGGTATCTTACTGTCTTGTTTATTCTTTCTTCTACCCAGGGATGTAGAGGTATCTTACTGTCTTGTTGATTCTTTCTTCTACCCAGGGATGTAGAGGTATCTTACTGTCTTGTTGATTCTTTCTTCTACCCAGGGATGTAGATGTATCTTACTGTTGTTTATTCTTTCTTCTACCCAGGGATGTAGAGGTATCTTACTGTCTTGTTTATTCTTTCTTCTACCCAGGGATGTAGAGGTATCTTACTGTCTTGTTAATTCTTTCATCTACCCAGGGATGTAGAGGTATCTTACTGTCTTGTTTATTCTTTCTTCTACCCAGGGATGTAGAGGTATCTTACTGTCTTGTTTATTCTTTCTTCTACCCAGGGATGTAGAGGTATCTTACTGTCTTGTTTATTCTTTCTTCTACCCAGGGATGTAGAGGTATCTTACTGTCGTGTTAATTCTTTCTTCTACCCAGGGATGTAGAGGTATCTTACTGTCTTGTTTATTCTTTCATCTACCCAGGGATGTAGAGGTTCCTTACTGTCTTGTTTATTCTTTCTTCTACCCAGGGAGAGGTACCTTACTGTCTTGTTTATTCTTTCTTCTACCCAGGGATGTAGAGGTACCTTACTGTCTTGTTTATTCTTTCATCTACCCAGGGATGTAGAGGTACCTTACTGTCTTGTTTATTCTTTCTTCTACCCAGGGATGTAGAGGTATCTTTCTGTCATGTTTATTCTTTCTTCTACCCAGGGATGTAGAGGTATCTTACTGTCTTGTTAATTCTTTTATCTACCCAGGGATGTAGAGGTTTCTTACTGTCTTGTTTATTCTTTCTTCTACCCAGGGATGTAGAGGTACCTTACTGTCTTGTTTATTCTTTCTTCTACCCAGGGATGTAGAGGTACCTTACTGTCTTGTTTATTCTTTCTTCTACCCAGGGATGTAGAGGTATCTTACTGTCTTGTTTATTCTTTCTCCTACCCAGGGATGTAGAGGTATCTTACTGTCGTGTTAATTCTTTCTTCTACCCAGGGATGTAGAGGTACCTTACTGTCTTCTTTATTCTTTCTTCTACTCAGGGGTGTAGAGGTATCTTACTGTCTTGTTTATTCTTTCTTCTACCCAGGGATGTAGAGGTATCTTACTGTCTTGTTTATTCTTTCTTCTACCCAGGGATGTAGAGGTATCTTACTGTCTTGTTGATTCTTTCTTCTACCCAGGGATGTAGAGGTACCTTACTGTCTTGTTGATTCTTTCTTCTACCCAGGGATGTAGAGGTATCTTACTGTCTTGTTAATTCTTTCTTCTACCCAGGGATGTAGAGGTACCTTACTGTCTTGTTTATTCTTTCTTCTACCCAGGAATGTAGAGGTATCTTACTGTCTTGTTTATTATTTCTTCTACCCAGGGATGTAGAGGTACCTTACTGTCTTGTTTATTCTTTCTTCTACCCAGGGATGTAGAGGTACCTTACTGTCTTGTTTATTCTTTCTTCTACCCAGGAATGTAGAGGTATCTTACTGTCTTGTTTATTCTTTCATCTACTCAGGGATGTAGAGGTATCTTACTGTCTTGTTTATTCTTTCTTCTACCCAGGGATGTAGAGGTATCTTACTGTCTTGTTTATTCTTTCATCTACCCAGGGATGTAGAGGTATCTTACTGTCTTGTTTATTCTTTCATCTACTCAGGGATGTAGAGGTATCTTACTGTCTTATTTACCTGTCATCCACCCGGAGAAGGCGTCTGCTTTGTGGTGATCACTAGACGGTGGGATCGTTGGAGCTATTGTGCCGGGTCTCACAATAGGTGGTGGAGACTTCGGCGGAGAGAGCAGGCTGGGGTATCTGGGAGCTGCATTTGACAGGGGCCTGTCCTTTGGGGACCATGTGGATAGTGTTGTGACAGGATGCCAAAGAAAACTTGGTGCACTTAAGACTATGGCACCTGATCCTGTCAGTGGTGGATAATGGCCTGGGACTGCTTGCCGTCTCAAAGAGTCAGATGGACAAACTAGAGAGCATACAGAACGCGGCTATGCGGGTCATTCTGGGTTGCACCAGAGACACCCCAGTGGTGTGTATGCGATACATCCTTGGTTTGCCGACTGTTGCAGGTGGGCACCAGGTGCTGCAGGCGAGGTCATGTCTCAGGGTGGCTGCGGACACGGACCGCCCTTTGCAAGAGGCTCTGGGTGCAGTTGGGGGTCGGCGGCTGGTGGGATGGAGGTCATGGATGGCTCAGGCGGAGGAATGGGAACATTTGGCGAGGAGAGGAGTGGGTCAAGCTGCCACCTGAGCAGCCGGATTTGTGTAGAGTCATGGTCACACTGGGCCGGGGATGCGGATACTGGCCAGGGAGATGGAGATTCAGCATTTGATTCAAGATGGTGCTCTCTCCGGAGATTTTATCATTTACACAGACCGTTCGGAGTCAGGGGGCAAAATAGGTGCTTGGGGCTTCTTGGCAAGGGTTGATGGTCTGCTTTTGGTGGGAGAGAGCCTTGCATATGATGCCAAGGCATCCGGCTTGGGAGTGGAGGTGGAGGCGGTCACTATGGCTTTCCACTAGTTGGAGAACACGACACACACACACATCGTGATTGTAGCTGACTTGGAGAGCATGCTGTGGTGGGGTGGGGGGGCAAGACGGGCATGCTATGTGCGGAGTGGCATGCTTCGCTGCGGAGGTCATGGGCGGGGAGTGTTTTCTGGATTTTTTCACCGGGTTGCGCTGGTGTGTTGGGAAAGGGGTAGGCATACGGGCTGGCTGGCTCTGCACAACTTGGTGGAATGCTGATGCATGATGGGGCAGACATGGTTGGTGCCTTGTGGGAGGGCGTGTGCGGTTCGGAACACTACAGTCTGGTGGGGTTGGTGCGGGGAAGAGTGGCGGGGGCTCGGGGGAAGGGCAGGACGGACAGTTGATCAGAATGATACTGGCACCATTAATATCGGAACTCTTTGCTGGCTGCTGAAGATGGGGAGGGAGCGCTTATGGAAATGCCCCTAGTGCTGAGATGTCGGTTCTTGAATCAATATATATATTTGTATAGATTGTTTCCTGGCGGTGTGAGGGTGACATCTGTATTAATTGTTTCCTGGGGATGTGCGGGTGACATTTGTATTAATTGTTTCTTTGAAGTGTGAGGGTAATTTTTGTAATGATTGTTTCCTGGAGATGTGAGGGTGATGTTCTTGTTCACTGATGATGTTCTTGTTGACTGATGATGTTCTTGTTGACTGATGATGTTCTTGTTGACTGTTAGCTGCAGCTCTGAAAACTTACATCCGCTACAAGAGGAGATGTCTTGGTGCAGCTCCTTCTAGCACTGTGCAGAAACGTAGGAAGTTGAACACACCAGAGCTCAGCAGCTCCGGAGACAGCCATCAGGTAGCACAGCTTGTATCTGATCATTTGATGTCCCTCACATATATAGCACCATGTCCTTGTGTTCACATTTCTATCAGTCAGTCCTTATGTTCACATCTATAGCAGTCAGTCCTTATGTTCACATTTCTAGCAGTCAGTCCTTATGTTTACATCTCTAGCAGTCAGTCCTTATGTTTACATCTCTAGCAGTCAGTCCTTATGTTTACATCTCTAGCAGTCAGTCCTTATGTTCACATCTCTAGCAGTCAGTCCTTATGTTTACATCTCTAGCAGTCAGTCCTTATGTTTACATATCTAGCAGTCAGTCCTTATGTTCACATCTCTAGCAGTCAGTCCTTATGTTCACTTTTCTAGCAGTCAGTCCTTATGTTCACATTTCTAGCAGTCAGTCCTTATGTTCACATCTCTAGCAGTCAGTCCTTATGTTTACATTTCTAGCAGTCAGTTCTTATGTTTACATCTCTAGCAGTCAGTCCTTATGTTCACATCTCTAGCAGTCAGTCCTTATGTTTACATCTCTAGCAGTCAGTCCTTATGTTCACATCTCTAGCAGGCAGTCCTTATGTTCACTTTTCTAGCAGTCAGTCCTTATGTTCACATCTCTAGCAGTCAGTCCTTATGTTCACATTTCTAGCAGTCAGTCCTTATGTTCACATCTCTAGCAGTCAGTCCTTATGTTCACTTTTCTAGCAGTCAGTCCTTATGTTCACATTTCTAGCAGTCAGTCCTTATGTTCACATTTCTAGCAGTCAGTCCTTATGTTTACATCTCTAGCAGTCAGTCCTTATCTTCACATCTCTAGCAGTCAGTCCTTATGTTTACATCTCTAGCAGTCAGTCCTTATCTTCACATCTCTAGCAGTCAGTCTTTATGTTTACATTTCTAGTAGTCAGTCCTTGTGTTCACATTTCTAGCAGTCAGTCCTTATGTTCACATCTCTAGCAGTCAGTCCTTATGTTCACATTTCTAGCAGTCAGTCCTTATGTTCACATCTCTAGCAGTCAGTCCTTATGTTCACATCTCTAGCAGTCAGTCCTTATGTTTACATCTCTAGCAGTCAGTCCTTATGTTCACATTTCTAGCAGTCAGTCCTTATGTTCACATTTCTAGCAGTCAGTCCTTATGTTCACATTTCTAGCAGTCAGTCCTTATGTTTACATCTCTAGCAGTCAGTCCTTATGTTCACATTTCTAGCAGTCAGTCCTTATGTTTACATCTCTAGCAGTCAGTCCTTATGTTCACATTTCTAGCAGTCAGTCCTTATGTTTACATCTCTAGCAGTCAGTCCTTATGTTCACATTTCTAGCAGTCAGTCCTTATGTTCACATCTCTAGCAGTCAGTCCTTATGTTCACATTTCTAGCAGTCAGTCCTTATGTTCACATTTCTAGCAGTCAGTCCTTATGTTCACATCTCTAGCAGTCAGTCCTTATGTTCACATTTCTAGCAGTCAGTCCTTATGTTCACATTTCTAGCAGTCAGTCCTTATGTTCACATTTCTAGCAGTCAGTCCTTATGTTCACATTTCTAGCAGTCAGTCCTTATGTTTACATCTCTAGCAGTCAGTCCTTATGTTCACATTTCTAGCAGTCAGTCCTTATGTTTACATCTCTAGCAGTCAGTCCTTATGTTCACATTTCTAGCAGTCAGTCCTTATGTTCACATCTCTAGCAGTCAGTCCTTATGTTCACATTTCTAGCAGTCAGTCCTTATGTTTACATCTCTAGCAGTCAGTCCTTATGTTTACATTTCTAGCAGTCAGTCCTTATGTTCACATTTCTAGCAGTCAGTCCTTATGTTTACATCTCTAGCAGTCAGTCCTTATGTTCACATCTCTAGCAGTCAGTCCTTATGTTTACATCTCTAGCAGTCAGTCCTTATGTTCACATCTCTAGCAGTCAGTCCTTATGTTCACATCTCTAGCAGTCAGTCCTTATGTTTACATCTCTAGCAGTCAGTCCTTATGTTCACATTTCTAGCAGTCAGTCCTTATGTTTACATCTCTAGCAGTCAGTCCTTATGTTCACATTTCTAGCAGTCAGTCCTTATGTTCACATCTCTAGCAGTCAGTCCTTATGTTCACATTTCTAGCAGTCAGTCCTTATGTTCACATCTCTAGCAGTCAGTCCTTATGTTCACATTTCTAGCAGTCAGTCCTTATGTTCACATTTCTAGCAGTCAGTCCTTATGTTCACATTTCTAGCAGTCAGTCCTTATGTTCACATTTCTAGCAGTCAGTCCTTATGTTCACATTTCTAGCAGTCAGTCCTTATGTTCACATTTCTAGCAGTCAGTCCTTATGTTCACATTTCTAGCAGTCAGTCCTTATGTTCACATCTCTAGCAATCAGTCCTTATGTTCACATTTCTAGCAGTCAGTCCTTATGTTCACATCTCTAGCAATCAGTCCTTATGTTCACATTTCTAGCAGTCAGTCCTTATGTTCACATTTCTAGCAGTCAGTCCTTATGTTCACATCTCTAGCAATCAGTCCTTATGTTCACATTTCTAGCAGTCAGTCCTTATGTTCACATTTCTAGCAGTCAGTCCTTGTGTTCACATCTCTAGCAGTCAGTCCTTATGTTTACTTTTCTAGCAGTCAGTCCTTATGTTCACATTTCTAGCAGTCAGTCCTTATGTTCACATCTCTAGCAGTCAGTCCTTATGTTTACATTTCTAGCAGTCAGTCCTTATGTTTACATCTCTAGCAGTCAGTCCTTGTGTTTACATTTCTAGCAGTCAGTCCTTATGTTCACATTTCTAGCAGTCAGTCCTTGTGTTCACATTTCTAGCAGTCAGTCCTTGTGTTCACATCTCTAGCAGTCAGTCCTTATGTTTACATTTCTAGCAGTCAGTCCTTATGTTC